ATATTGCAGAATTTTGAGCATTATTTGCTTGCATGGGAATTCAGTGCTATGGTCCTATAGTTGCTGCAGTCTCTTGTTGTGGATGGGGATATATATTGATCACTTGCAATCTATTGGCCATCATTTTGTTTTCCATACCTGTTGGCATATGGATTGCAGCAGTTCAATTGGAATATCATCTGTTCCTGCTGTTTTTCGCTATTTCTCTTATTGCAGTTTCCACCTTGCTTTTTAGAATTTGGGGTTCATCTTCATGTGGTTCTTCATTCCACGTGTCCTTCATTTTGTCATCTCTTTTGTATAATTCTTCTGTATATTGCATCCAATGTTTTTTTATTGCTTTCTGGTCTTCAATTACCTTTTTTAAAATGTCATACAGCATCTCAGTTTGAATTTTCCTTTGATTTTCCGTATCTTGTGCAATAGATCTCTTGTTCTTCCCTTTTTGTTGTTGTCTTCTATTTCTCTGCATTGGTCATTGTAATTTTCTTTATCTTTCTGCACAAGCTATTGTACTGTTACATTCATAATTCTTAGTTTGTTCCTATCTCCCTTTTGTTTTTCTTCTCTTCATATATATGTTTTTCTTCTCTCTCTCTCTCTCTCTCTCTGTTGTTCTCACCATATCAAATGAATTCATATTTATATTAGTATTTTTAGATTTTATTTGGTAATGTCATAAATTTTTCTTGAATGTCCTACATTTTGCAGTGTTCTTGTCAGCCTTTACACTCATGACATTTGGTCACCCTGTGTATTCTGTTGCTGAAATTAGTCAAGTTGGGTGAAAATATTTGAATGAGAGGTCATCTGAGAGACATGTCTAAGCAGCTCTGAGTTCCTCAAAGGAAAAGTGGGATGCAACCAGAATCAATCAAGCCTATTAATGTAATCTTGGGGAGATGGGGAAGGGATGTCCAAGCAATGCTGTCTAGTGATATCAAATCCTACTAAGTACATACTTTCTCAAGGAAATCCCATTGCAAAGTGTTGCCTGGATTCTGCAAATGATTTCTCTTAAGACATAGTGCTAGCCTACCCTGTCCTCTCTCGCTTGCCTTATAGAACCTGAGTTACATACATGAATGAGCTTCCTGTGCTGATAAATGTTTCCAATTTGTTCTCCGAATGTCAGCATTTCAGTGCTGCCTCCTGCCCTGGTGCTTGTAAAGATGAAGTTTTATGCTGTTTGTTTTTTAATTAGGGCCCTATATTTGGAGAAACAAATAACTTGTATTTAATTAAAAATCACTCATGCGCCTCCATCAGCTGAAACTTGCTGAAAATGAGACTCCCAGAAGGACCTGGGGCAGATTGATAACCAGAAGGAAAAGAAGATATCAGAGTCTTGTTATAGAGAAATAATTAAGAGATTAATAGTGAAAGTTGCTGCAGTGATGGGACTGGAAGGGTGCATCATTCATCCCAGGATGTCACAGGTATGCCCATTACAATACTGCCACCCACCGTATTATTACAGCTATAATCATTTCTGTACTATTTTAATGAGTTGGTGCTGTGTTCATAACTACTGAGGAAAACATATGATTATTATCCAGGAAACGGGGACTGAGAGACACCTTGTTTGAGGGCATCTAGGAAGGTGATGACTGAAAAGAAATTTGAACCTAAATCTTACAAATGTCGCCATCTAATACTTCGACCAGACAGCAATCCAGATTGTCATGACCTCCCACCATAGGTATGATGCAGGGTGACCAGGCATCCTCCTTTTCCAGGACATGTCCTACATTTTGGCCTTCTCTCCAGGAGAAATTCCAAAATCTCTTCCATAACTAAGAAGCATGAATTTATATAAATGTTTTTTGTGGTGCCTTGTCCTCCTTTGTAGTTAGGACATCTGGTCACCCTGGTACAACGGCATTGCTGTAATCTCAATCTCCAAAGAAATAGTTTATGGAATATTAGATTCTGGAAAATAAAACATTTCAGGCTCAAACAGGAAGTTTTATACTTGGCCCTAGGATCCCATTACTTTGCAGATTTTCTGATTTTTTTTTTCAATTTAAAAGCCTGTTTCTGCATGGGATTTCCTCCATGTGATGAAGTCCTATAATTGCACCCACATTTACTGGTAGTAGGCAGCTCTGCCTGCCTTCTACAGTACCAGGGCAGATGATATTTGGACCATCTTATTTAAAAGCCACTGATACCATAACATTTGAATATGCCTTTGATTTTTAAGACGATGGATACTTGAAAACTGTAAGCACTAAAAATACAGTGTTTTGAACAATACTGTGCTTTGTGAAAATAGACTGTGTATGTTTTAAGGTTGCAGTTACTATAAATATGTATTCTATCATTATAAGGGGAGAAACCAACTTTTTATATATATATATATATATATATATCAGTGTCCTAGGACTCATTCATAATCTTATGTACCTCTATTTTACCCACCGGTAGGTTTTCATTGGCTGAGTGCTCGCTACCTAAACCTCTCAGTAGCATTCTTTCCAATGCAGACATAGGGGCTTTCGCAACAGTGAGCATGTGCCAATGAGGGACAGCTGAGGAACAACAGTAAATGCAGTGAGATAATATGTGTTCTCATAACGTTACTATCATGTTATCAATAGTCTAATGTGGTAACATCCGTTCCCATATCGTTATGTTGCAGGGACTCAGTGGTACTGGTGTGATAAGCTTAATAAACTTGTAGGCAAGAACTGTGTGTTCTCTCCCCCTTTTTTTCCCTTTTTGCTTTTTGTATGGTGGCTAGACACAGAGTGGTCACTTGTATAGTTCATACTCACCAACATTTTACAAATGAAAGATCAGACGTATATGGCTGAGAAACATCAGAGTGTGTTCAAAAGGTTGTGGATAGGTGAGAAGAGGGAAAAGGTTATTAATGAAGAATGCACAAAATTACTATTTTACACAGAGAAACCCTTGAATTTATGTAGTGAGTTTTGGAAAGCTTGGAAAAAAAGGAAAACCCCAAATGGAAAGGACAAGATTTTGTCCGCACTCTTCTCCTTCCAGCTGAGTTAGATGAATCCACATTACTTTTGCAATTTGAATTTAATTTGCAGCAATTGAAGTAAGCCATAGCCAGAGGAGGAAGAAATCAGGACATTTTGAAAGCAGTTGAGAAAATGAGACAGCAGAGTATTAACTGGGACAATCCCTGCCAAAAAGAAAATAGGAAAGACATTTCACAAAAGGAGAAAAGAGAAGAAGATAATAATTTGTATCAAACATGCATATATTCATCACCATCACTATCCTCTTTCTCCTCCTAGTAATCATCACTTTTCAACTGCAAAGCTCACCAGAAAAATGTAGCTGGAAGTATAATACTAAGACATTTTTTTTTAAAGTCAACAGTAATATTAAGGAAATGGCTAGGTTATGGATGGGTCAAATGGAGCCAAGGAAGATCTGAGACTACTGTATAATGGTTGTATCACTCTGAAGATTTAAATTACCATATCCAATATGTATTCTGCTTGTTTATGTTTATGGCTCTCAAAACATTATAAATGCTACCAAATTTGAATAACTGCATAGCAAAGATATCAGAGATGGGTATTATATGGGTTTCCTGCTCTGACTTCCATCATGGAACTTACCTGAGCTTTGAATTCTCTCTCCTTCCCTCCCCTTTCTCTCTTTCTCAAATTTCATCTTCCAGAATTTCCCATCCAACCTAATTGTGGCTATTCTGGATTGGGGATTCTGGGAGTTAGGTAACTTTTCTAAGCTTTTGTTCTTAGTGCCTCTAGACTCATGGGCTACACACATGATTTAGAATCCCACTAGAGTTTTAAATAATGAGGAAAGCCTTTGTACCTAAAACAGGCATACTGGTTAAAAAATCCCTGACCAACATGTAGTCTGTTAGGGGTATAAGACAGGGATGTGGTCTAGGAGGTGAACCCAGCAAGTATGGCCCCACTGTTCCCTTTAGAAAACGGTTGTAACATGAGCTGCTACTAACTCCTGAACAGGCCAATGCAGTTAGGATTTCCCAAGGAGTAACTGAAGGTAAAGAGTCTCTAAAAGGAATGGCTCCAGCCACTGCTACAAAATCTGTATCCAAGGTCACCCTGAAGTTAATGCACAATCTAGAGCTCTTTAATTAAAATTAATACATTCATGCACTGGTTGTGCATTTAATGTAGTGCTGAAGCTAAATATTACCCTTTAAGTTGCTGCTGGTGCAATTTCTTTCTTCTCTGTTTTACTCATCTGGAAATAGTAAGGTCCTTAATGAGCATTACTTTCTCAACTTACTATGTGGGTGGTATTTATAAACTGAAAATTAACTGGGGTGACCTTTGTTACTAGTGCCATTTGTTTCGCTGTTGTGGCCTCAAGGTGCTGCGAATGCATTTTGTCCATCCAGTTGCATTTGATCTTGAGGATTATCTGGAGGTCTTAGCTATCCTCTGGTCATTGGCAACTGTTTGCTCTTTGTCTTTAAGGCCCATGTTGAATTGCTGTAAAACTGTAAAAATTCCAACTGAATGGTTTACTTTTGCCTTACTAAATTTTGTATTTGCCTTGAGCCCTGTTCTGGAGGAAAAGCAGGATATTGTTGTTATTATTCTAACTCTCTAGCCCAACTCTCCTCCCAAACCTGATGGAAATGGCACTCACCCATGCTCCAATCACCAGCAGAAAGGACCTCCTTCTCCCCTGCAGCTGATGCCCAATAAAGTAGATTTGGGGTGGAATTTACAATCATGGCTACAGTACCACAATCATGAGTAAGTAGTGATTGTGAATATGGAACAATGACAGTATACTGGTTGTTATTGCTGTTGCTGTTGGTATTTGATAATGTATTTTTTAGATTGTAAGCCTGAGGGCAGGGAACTGTCTAACTAACCATTTGTCAGCTGATCTGAGAGCCTTTGTAGCTGAAGAGAAGGGTACAAATACTCCAAACAACAACAATAACAATAACAACAACAACAGATAACCTTTCACATTTATTGGCCAATGGTAGGTACCATTTTTAGACAGCCAATGTGGTGTAGTGGTTTGAATGTTGGACTAAGACTCTGAAGACCAGGGTTCATTCAATTCCTAGCTTGGCCATGAAGCCCACTAGATGATCTTGGGCGAGTCATATGCTGTCAACCTTAGGGGACAGCAATGGCAAACCTCCTCTGAACAATTCTTGCCAAGAAAACCCAGTAATAGGATTACCTTAGGGTCGCTGTAAGTTGGAAACAACACAGTAACAACAAAAGACATCATTTTAAAGGGAGGAAATGACTCAGAAGACCTTAAGTGTGTTGGATATAGAATGTATTATGCTAGTTATGATGCCTCTGTCCTTGGAAGAGAATTCCCTGTTGGAAACGAGTAGTGATGAACAGGGGGCTCTTTAGAAGGTAACATGTATGGTTTCTCTTATTTGAAAATGTGGTAAGTCAGACATGCTGCATTTGTGGATCCTTCCACTCACTCTGCTGGGCAATCCACACTGCTAGATTTCTGCTTGAAATCCTATCCTGAGATCATCACAGGGAACAAACTATCTACTGAAATCAGTCTTAATACATGGAAAACAGGCCACTGAATCAAAGCACTTGATCCTAGGCTTACAGAAGATCCATGATGCTCCTTTAAATTCTCAGGCACAAAGGAAGGTAAGACAGCCAAGGTGTTTCTCTCCTTTTCCTTTCTCAGTCTTAATATCCTAACTACTCATCCTTACTTGCTATAATGAATAAGGAGGGCTGCTCTGCCATTCAGCAGAGTGTGGCCATTGCTTGAAGTGATAGTTGAGGAGTGGCGTGGAGAGGGCAGAAAGGCAGATGACTGCTTGTTCCTCTCTGTGAGGCAACACAGCTGTGTGCTATGTGTAAACTGTACCCTCTAAACTAATCTATAGTGCTTGGATAATGTGGACAATATTGTCCCACCACTCGTACTGAACCAGAGTCATCTACTTCTTCACTTAGATCACAGAGGAGAAGTGATCTTACTCTGATCCTTTTACAGATCTTGTGTAAGATTGAGAGAATCAAAGGATAAGGATGGTTGGTTTCTCAAAGTGGAGAAAAGGCTTTAAACTTTTCAGCATGATTTAAATTGGTTATCTTTCTTACATTTCTGGTGGTGGTGCACATTAGAAAACTGAATGGGGAACATGGGAAGCCTAGCTGGCATGGTGCCTGATAACGTACCAGCTGGAGATTTAGATTCAGATTTGCCACTCAGTACCAACCATCTGGCACATTCACAGCTCAGGCCCTGGTGACAACATCATGGTGTGTGCAACAAATCTACAACAAGGGCCCTTAGTATGTTTTCACTGAAGACTTTTTTAAGGGCGGCACTTGCAGCGCTTCCCAATGGTGAAAGACCTCCCCCACCTCTCTCACCTCAACATTTGTCAGTCTTTTTAAAGATTCAAGAACCTGGGAAGCAAAGAGTTAGCTTGTTCAGGCAAACATATAAAATGAATATTCTTTTTGCAAAAGGAGACCAGTCAGCAGCTAGAGTGATGGAGGGGAGGGGCATACAAAACACTCTGACAGGCCAGATGCTAGAATTGCTGAGAGGCAGAGAGTATTTTAATTTAAAATAATATGATATATTTATTTTGTAAGTGAAATATGCACCTGTCATGTAACTCCCCACAGGCAGTTAAAGCTAATGCACATATCTCATTGGCCAGCATTAATGGTTAGAGGTTCCCATCTCTCAGAGTAAATTATGTGCCTAGCCTATAACCTCCTCCCTGAGGTAAAAGGCTGCACGAGCGGATAGATAGCTCACTCTTCTTTTCTGATGGCAACAAATCAAGAAGGACCGGGAGCAAATCCCAGAACCAAAGATGCTGGAAGCCACAAGACCACCTTTGTTTCCAGGAGTTTAGTGGCAAATACTGTTAGCATACCATTGCTGAGATAAATTGTACTGATATGCCATGAGGTCAGGGGAGGGAGAAACAGGGAGAAAATGATCCAGGTGGGACTGCTTTTCATCACATAGCTGGGCTCAGTGGGTGTTTCCTTGCATTTCTAATATCCCTGTGTGATATTTTATTTAAAAAGGAGAGAAACATGGGTGAAAATAATTTTATGGGCTTGTGATACGAGGTTGTTAAGCTGGTAACGAAAATGCAAGCGATGTTAATGTCAGCCAGGATAAAAGTTGGAGTGTGGTGAAGTGGTGTTGGACTGGGGCTTTGGAGATGCAGGTTCTAGCCCCCACTGAGCCCCCAAGCTCACTGGATGACCATGGGCCAGTCACACTCTCACTGGGTCATTGTAAAGATAGAGCCATGAGGGAGAGAGCTGTTTATGCCTTTGGAGGAAAGGCAGGCTATGAATGCAAGAAACCAACATTTCCCTTTGTACTTTCTGAACTATGGCTGGCTATGGATGACTTTTTTGTTCTCTTCTTCCCAGAAACTCAAAGAGACATTGTGTTTCCTATATCATCCTCGGAACAACCTGCTTAGGGTTGTTGTACATTTTACTGCATTTAACGCAGTGAGACTTACGAATTGGCCATGGTGGACCCACTAAATTCCTAACTGAGAAGGTGCTGGAACTTGTCTTATCTCTATTCCATGCTGATTATCAATTGGCAGAAATCGAGCAAGTTCACTGTTAGTTAAACAGGAAGGACCCATCAAGATCATTTTCACAGCAGGTGTGGTTGCCATTGTTTTGGTATACAACTAGTATGCTAAAGCTTAAGGATATCCCTGGTCATAAAGGCAGTATTTAACCTAAATTCAAATAGCAATGGTAATAAATTAATAGTTTAGATCTGCCCTTCTAATGAAAAAGCAAATTCATTATTTAGTTTGTTAACTAATCATAGTAACCCTCTTTTACTATTGTTCCTATCTCTGTGTCATGCTGTTAGATGGGAATTGGAGACCAACAGGAAGGCTACTAGTTTCCTAGTCCTGTCCCACACACTTCCCAAAGCTTTGCCTAACATGTGTTTGCACTTGATTGCAAGGCCAGTCTGCTTGATCATGGTCACTGTTTCTAGGCTCTAGTAATTATCATGGAAATATATCTACATGAATGGCAAAAGATGCTGTTTTGGATCTAAGTGCAGATTGGGACCCTTTTTCTGTAGAATGGCATAGCTGATTTGATAAGATCTCTTAGGCAAATTCCTGGAAATGAAACTGCCAAACTAAGCAAGGAGCATGGAGCTCTAAATTTGTGACCCC